TTTACAAAAGGCTTGAGTCGGGGAAGAGTGGACTACATATGTAACAAGCTGGGAGTATATGATACTCACCAGCTTGAGGGAGAGTGTTAGCGTAGGGGTATTTCTGTCTTTATACCTTGATTAATGTTGTTGATCTATAATGTTGTATTGGAACAAGTGCTCTTAACTTAAATAAGGGCACATAGGTCTTTTCAGTTATGTTTTAATAATAATATAAATACTTATTGGCCGACTGGGAGAAGTAAAGTTGACTCTTTTAGTTCGAACCAGAATTCTCTCTTCTCTCTTTCTCTCTCTCTCTCTCTCTTTCTCTCTCTCTCTCTCTCTATATCACCTTTTCTTCTTCTACATAACTGAACTCAGTCAGGCCGAACTCTAAGGAAGATCTGAATTCTATCAAACTACATTGAATAAGTTATATTGAAAGATGGTCAAAGGTGCAAAAGCAGTGCAAAATGCCACATAGAAACATCTAGTGATTGTGTTGGACTTGACAAGTTCCCAATCACCTAATAAAGTATCATATTCATACAAATATATACCTCTTCATCAGTCAGAAATATTTATAGAAAATAAATTATATGTTGGAAACACTCTTAAGTCCAGGCCCATTATAGATAATCTGGTACGTGAACCCAACCCCAACATGGACATCACATGTAGCATGAACGCAGGGGAGCTCCCTCAATAGCACATTGCCAAGTTCTATGTTAGGAAGCCACGTCGGCCACTCAAATAAGACAAAGGCTAACCAATTCTGTTATGGAGATATTTGTATGTAGGAGCCTATATAAGGCAGTTGTTAGTGAGATGAGGGTCATGAACCCTAATTCTCTCTCTCTCTCTCTCCCTTATCTCTTCTTCTGACTGTTGTTCTTCCATTCCTGTCTTAAGAGTGAAGACTGAGCTTCCTTCGCGAAGTCCAAAGTTAGGCCAATCCTAGCAGATCTGGTATCAGAGCATTCCTACACGCACCTCTTGTAGAAGATGCCTAACACTCAGTTCGTTTCAATTAAAGAATGAATCGATAAGATAGAATTGGATCTCCATCAGGAGGTTGGGGAACTGCGAGAGATGAAGGAGACACTATCTACTGTGGCCATGCAATGTGAGATGCTGTCACTGAACATTGGCTGAGAAAGTGATTCAAAAGGATTGAACCAAGGGAGTAATTAGAGGATAAGAGCTCTCACAAGTAGGCATATCAAGCTTGACTTCCCAACATACTCCAATGAGGCCCCTCATTTCTTCATCCACAGCTTCCTTCCATTTGGAGTCAGTCAACAATAGCCTCTAAGAACCTGGAAGGGGTAGAGATAGAAGACAAGGCACAAACAAAGAAGTGATAGGCAGGAGACAAATGGGAATATGAGACAAATCTATTTATAGGATGGAGAGTGCAGGATCAAATTGGCTTCCGCAAAGCAATAAGAAGATCAGGATCAAGACTAGTGGATGAAGTAGGAGAAACCATACCTTGGTCAGCTTCAAGGGAATCCAATTGGTTGCAGTCATGAACTAGCAAGTCTCTCTTTCTTTTCCTTCAATAAACACTTAGATCACAATGATTAGGAGCAGTGGCTTCTGCATCACAATGGTCAAGAGCAGTGGCTTCTGCATCAACTAGACAAGTAGACTCGATAGGCTTAGAAGGAACTGGATCAGGAGTAGTTGGAAGAAGAGTAAGGGCAGGAACAAAAGGATTAACCCCCGACTTCGAGGAAGTCTCTTCCACTTCACTAGTCTCCCCCTGAAGAGGATTCTGAGGGCGGTCAAAAAATGACTAGGACTCACGAAAGGTGACATATTTTGTAATAAACTTCCTCCCAGTAACTGGATCAAGACACTTGTATACCTTTTGTGTAGGAGAATAGCCTAAAAACACCCCCCGACTAGACATAGGATCTAGCTTTGTCCTTTTAGGATCCTTGACATGAATGAAACACACACAACCAAAGACCTTTGGGGGTAAGGGAAAAATAAGTTGATCTGGACACATAAGAGAAAAGGGAGCCTTCATACCCAAAACTCTAGATGGCATCCTGTTTATGAGATAAGATGCAGTGAGAGCAGCATGTGACCAAAATTTCTTAGGGACCTTGTTTTGAAACAAGAGAGCACAAGCAGTTTCCAGTAGATGTCTATTTTTTCTCTCTGCAACTCGATTTTGTTGTGGAGTAAAACTGCAAGAGGACTTGTGTAATGTTCCCTCATCTTCAAAAAACATATTTAGAGAATTCTTGAAGAATTCTTCTGCATTATCAGAATGAAATTGTTCCAAACTGACTCTCAATCATTTTATAGAAGACCATGGTGATTCTAGGAATTTCTTCTCTTCCTTTCATCAAGTAAATCTAAGTACATCTTGTAAAGTGGTCAATAAAACTAATAATGTAATGATAGTCATCCATAGAAATAATAATACCCTTTCACATAAACATTCTCAACAAAAACAAGAAGCCTTAGCGAGCCCAAAACTCACTCGGATCAAGGAAACACTTAGCCAAGAGCCCGCATCACACGTGGGGTATTCTGTTGTCAATGGGTTGCTGTTCTATAAGGGTCAGATGGTTATTCCAGTAGATTCAGCCCATATTCCAGATCTCCTCCTATTCCACAACTCACCACTGGGAGGACATTCTGGAATACTGCGAACTCTTCAACAAGTTTCTTCAAACTACTTTTGGAAGGGAATCTGAAAAGCAAATCAAGATTATGTAACCAAGTGCCTAGTTTGTCAACAGCAAAAGTATGAGGCAAGAGCACCTCTAGGTCTTCTCCAGCCCTTACTCGTCCCAAACCAGGCTTGGGAAGAAATTACCACGGATTTTGTTACCAGACTACCCAAATCCCATGGTAAGTCGGTGATTTTAGTTGTTGTGGATAGGTTTACTAAATATGGGCACTTTGTCAGGCCCCCGCACCCTTATTCCCTCAGTAGCACATTACCAAGTTCTACGTTAGGAAGCCACATCAGCCACTCAAATAAGATAAAGGCTAATTAATTTTGTTAGGGAGATATTTGCATGTACAAGCATATATAAGACAGTTGATAGTGCAATGAAGGTTGTGAACCCTAATTGAGCTAATTCCTTCTCTCTTCTTCTGCTCTGTTTTTCTTCCATTCCTGTGTTAGAGTGAAGGCTGAACTTCCTCCATGAAGTCCAGAGTTGGGCTGACCCTAACATTATATCAATGAAATATCATGATGTCAGAAAACCTGAACATATGATGTAAATCTGTAGAGAACATTGATGTGGGCCCCACAGCTGTGGTACCACTCTGTCCGTAGGGTAGAATGTATCTAGTCACAGCTGTGGTTATTTT